CAATATAGTTCCTCCAGTACCATACACACAATTGTTTATTATAGATGAGCACTACGTTTACGATACTGGAGCAACCGAGTTACAAGTTTGTGATGTTCTATTCGAAGATTACAATATACTAGTTCCAGTACCTACACACCGTGGTTTATAATAGATGAGCACTATATGTACTATACTGGCTTAACCGCATTACAAGTTTATTAAATTCTCGTCGAAGATTACAATATAGTATTTCCAGTACCATACACAACGTTGTTTATTATAGATGAGCACTATGTGTACGATATTGGAGCAACCGCGTTACAAGTTTGTCATATTCTCGTCGAAGATTACAATATGTTACTTCCAGTACCATACACACCGTGGTTTATATTAGATGAGCACTATGTGTACGTTACTGGAGCAAGCGCGTTACAAAATTGTGAAGTCTTCGTTGAAGATTATAACATAGTTACTCCAGTACCGTACCTATAGTGGCTTTTAATTGTGGAGCACTATGTGTACGGTACTGGTGCAACCGTATTACAAGTTGGTGATGTTTTCGTTGATGATTATAACATAGTTATTCCAGTACCATACACATAGTGACTTATAATTGATGAGCACTATGTGTACGGTACTAGCGAAACGACGTTATAAGTTTGTGTTGTTTTCGTAGAAGATTACAATATAGTACTTTCAGTATCGTACACACCGTGACTTTTAACTAATGAGCACTATGTATACGCTACTCTGGCAACTGCGTTACAAGTTTATGATGTCCTTGTTGAATGTTACAACATAGTTCCTCTAGTATCATTCATACCGTAACTTATAATTGATGAGCACTATGTGTACGGTACTGGGGTAACCGCGTTACAATTTTTTGATGAATCGTATGAATCTAATCGTATGTTGCAACTTAGTCCACAGTGTCGTACAATCCATACTTTAATATTACTCAGCACATTGTGTACGATTCTGGTGCAACAGCGTTACTAGTTTTTGACGACTTCATTGATTGTACAACAATTTTACCTCAGTATCGTAAATATTCTATCTGTAAGCGAAGTTAGATGTTCGGAAATCGGTTATTTTTTGTCTAACTACTACAGTGTCATCTATTCGGGCTATGAAAAACCAGTAATGACTAGTGTAGTGTTTATTATAAATAAAAAATTGAGCTACCAAATATTTTACAAAATAGTGTTTGTTCAACTATGCATTTTTGTTAATTAAACTTAACTGAACTAGCTTAGTGGTAACTAAATTATATTTTTCTAATTCAATTGTATAACTCCACTTCAGGTGAAGAATTTTTTGATTATAGAAATTGTCATTTCTGGTCTAAAAGATTTTTACAAATTAGCAAAATTAGAAGATATATTTAATATTATGGGTTATTGGAATACGATTGTTGGAGAAATTGTGGACTGTCAAGAAGTTGGAGCATTTGGACTGAGGACTAGAATTACAATAGGAGATTACCTTATTGACTTCTACAAGTTACGTGATATTATCATAGCTTTCAAATTCCAAAATATTCACCGCAGAAAAATATCTTGGAAACTTGGAAATTGTCAGGGGATATCCTTGATATCAAATCGTTTTTATCATAGTAAGAAAGAGGTTCAGAAATCATATATATATATATATATATACAAAACATACCCAGGCACTGACGTGTCATTGACGAAACATTAACCATAATATCTTTATCATGAAACGTAATTTAGTCTATAAAAAACTTACAAGAATAACCCAAAAATAGGGAAATATTATTTAAAAATGCTAAAAAATAATAACATTAAAACTTTCTACACATCCTACATCAATAAAAAATTAATATTCATTCCACCATTTCTTAGTGATACCAATGAAGATTATTGGAATAAAATAAAGAATGTAATACATGAAGCAGCCAGCAACACTTTAAAAGAAACTCATCAGAGCCTATGAAGCCATAGATAAATGATAACATTCTAAGAGTTATTGAAGAGATATAAATTATAAAAACTCCAGGATAATCATGGAATACGGTGGTATAAAGAGCTAGGGAATAAAATTAATAGAGAAGCGAAATTCGCAAGAGAGAAATGCTGCCAATGAATAAAAGTGCCAAGAAGTGGAACAATTACTTAGAAATAATAGGTCGAATCAAGCGTTAAACATAATTAAGACATTTTCCGGAAGAAATACGAAATTAAACAACAAAATAAGATATATGGGCGGACACTTGTTACTGGACAACGAAAAAATAACAACCAGATGGAAATAATATTTTGAAATTTTATACCAAAGAGAAGAAACAGCCAAACTCAATAATAACAATAACCCTAATATGCAAAGGGGATTCATCTTAAGATACGATTTCAATAAAACTTTAAGTAATGAAAACATATAAAGCAACCGGTATAGACGACATAGCAATGGAACTAATCCAAAATGCGAGTACAGAATTACAAAACGAGCTATTTAAACTAGTGAATGATATATAAACTACGGGAGAGATCTCAAAAGATTTCAAGAAGAGCATGATAATACCTATACCTAAAAAAGCAACGGCTGAAAATTGTAATAAATTCAGAACGATAAGTTAAATGACACCCGCAGCCGATATCCTAATACAAATAATATGCACCCAAATTGAGAACATAGTAGAAAAAGAGTTAACTGAAGACCAATTCGGGTTCAGAAGGAACAAAGGTACTAGAGATGCAATCTTAAACTTAAGAATATTGATAGAAAAACAAATAAAATTTAATAAAGACATATTTATCTCGTTTATAGATCGGGAAAAGGCTTTTGATAAGGTACCGTTGAAAGAATACTGGCTTGTACCCGACTATATATAGAGAAGGATAATATATAATTTATACAGATTAATCAATCAGGTACAATAAAAGTAATAGACAAAAAAGAAACTATGATAATTGGGAAGGGTGTAAGACAAGATTGTCCACTCTCGCCAATTATATTTAATTTAAAATAGAACAGCCTATTAAATAAATAAGAGAAACACTGCACAGAAATAATATAGGCATAAATGTGGGCGGAGAAATAATATCCATCTTAAGATTTGCTGACGATATTACACTACTAACAAACAAGGCTGGGCAAGTTAATGATATGTTTTATCTCAGTTTAGTTAAGTCAATTGAGTTATTGTTCAGTTAAGGTAATGCACATGAAAATTACATTAATTAAGTTAAAAATATCGTTAACTTAATTTAAATTAATAAGTTAAGTTAATTACAAAAAAATTATTTACATTAAGCGCAGATATAAGTGATATATATATACATATAATAAAAATGTACAACAGATCTTATTTAACATTAATGATAATGAAAATACAGAAAAATCATATTAGACTCTAATTAGATAATAATAAGTTGAAATTAGGAACAATAAAAATAAAATAGTTACTCATTTTGAAGTAGTTAATTATGTTGAATTGCTAATATTGAGACTTAGTGATTGTGTAAAACTAAATTATGAAATTAAAGAAATAAATAAAATTAATAGTTTCATAATTGAAAAAGAATTATTTTTACAAACGAATAATGATGTATTTAACGATTTAGGAAAATTTCCAGAAACAGATTCTATAAAAGTAAAAGATGATGCTATTTCTAGGGTTATCCCACCAAGAAGAGAACCATATAAATTATTAGATAAATTAAAAGAAACGTTAGATAGAATGTGTAAATTGAAAGTAGTTGAAAAATGTAGCAAACCAAGTGAATGGCAGAGTCCTAAAATAATAATTGAAAAACCAGACAAAAGTCTAAAAGTTTGTTTTGATCTTAGGGAACTTAATAATAATATAATTAGAGAAAGGTACCAAATTCTAACATTAGCAGAAAGTAAATTGAGTTAGTTAAATAATAATTTTTCACATTATTAGCTCTTCATGATGGGTTCTATCAATGTAAATTAGATAAAAAGTCTCAAAACCATTGTTTTAGTACACATTATGGAAGTTACAAGTACTTGAGATTACCTTTTTATCCTCGACCTCGGGGAAGTTTCAACAAATTACTTCTAAATATTTTGGTAACATAAAATGTAAATGTATATTTTGATGATGTATAAGTATCAGGGCCAACAATAGAAGAGCATAATTTAGCATTAAATGAGGTAGTTAAAAAATCAAGAGAGTTTAATATTAAATTTAATATTAATAAAGTACAATACAAAGTGTTTAATGTAAAGTTTTTAGAATTTGTTTTTAGTAGTAAAAGAACTCAACCTGACGAAGAACGAATAACATAAATTAAGGAACTAAATGAACTTTATAATAAAAAAGAGTTTGAGTCCTGCTTAATATCCATGCTTCAGAAGACATAATTAAAAATAAAGAAAACCAGATAAAAAATTATAATAAAAGAGCAGGAAAGGTAGAACAAGAAATTTACCCAGGTCAAAAAGTCTATATTCAAAACATATATAACAAAATATGGTTCCCAGGTATCATTATAAAAAAACTGGGTTTCCTAGATTTTATTATTATCAAAGACATAAATGATAAAATGTTGAGGCACAATTCTAGGTTTATTAAAAAAGTCAAGGATTATGAAACAGTTAATGAATTTGAGGATGATGAGGATGTTGAAAATAATGACGAAAGTATAAGCAAAAAAGAAAACGGTGACATTACAAATAAACATGAGAAGAGAGTTTTTAGTAGAACAAGATATAGTCACAAAGTGAAAAAAGTCATTAAGTATGGTCTTTAAAGTATTGTGTGGATGAGGATAGTAAAATTAAATTACAGTGTTTATATTAAGTACAGTGAAACCTCTGAATAGCGGACACTCTCGGTCGCCGAAATTTTGTCCGCTATTTAGAGGAAAATATTTTTTTTAACAAATAAATAAATTCATTAATTTTATTTTATATTACTTTTACATTAATTAAATACACGATAAAACTAACATTTATGAAAAAAAAACCAGTTACCTAAATTTTTATTTTATTTTTACATTAATTAAATATGAAAACTAAAAAAATAAAAACTAATAAAAATAAAAAAAATCTGTTACTTTAGTTTGTTTACTAATTGCAGGCGTAGTTATTTCGTATGTTAAGGCATTTTCTAATTGGATTGTGTTTGAGAACAATGAACTATTCTGTACCTCGATAGAAGAAATATATGTACGTATGTCTTTTACTGCTAGCAATGCCTCTCGTAGACTTCTTATTTTTGGAATTTCTTGATCTTCGGACCCATCATTTTCTTCATCACTTTCTTCTTCATTTTGAGTAGACATGCTCGTAGTATCAGATGAATTTTCGATATCGGCGTCGTAAGTCTCTACGCAATCGTCTAGTGTTATGTAGTCATTTTCCGTAATTGTATTGTCAATCACTTTAATAAGATTGCCAAGTTCTTCTATTGGTGTAAGTAGATCATCAACGTCTGTAACATTGTTATCACGGTACCTAAAGCCAGACCGCAAAAAGCATTTCTTCACTGTTACGGGTTGAATGTTTTTTGTAGATGAAGACACCCAGTAAATTGTATCCAACATGTTGATAGGTTGACTTGAATTGGCATCCAAATCAGCAACAGCTTTACGTAACAATTGCGTACGATATAATTTTTTAAACTGATGGATTACTCCTTGGTCAAGCAGTTGGCAATGAGAAGTCATGTTAGGTGGAAAAAACACAAGTTCAATATTTTTCATTTTTAAATGTGGATGAGGAGCCGCGTTGTCTAAAAAGAGTAAAACTTTTATTTTATTTTGACCCATTCTGTTATCAAATTTCATAAGCCACTCAGTCATTATTTCAGTCGTCATCCAGGCTTTTTTGTTCCAAAACCAATTGACGGGAAAGTTGTTAATATCCAATTTTTTGAAGGCTCGTGGACGTTTAGCTTTGCCTATGACGAGTGGCCGTTCAAACTCACCTAACATGTTAGTACACAAGAGTACAGTTAAACGTTCTTTTGAAATTTTTCCTCCAGTACATATCTCATTTTTAAACGCCATGGTTTTATCAGGTAGAACTCTATAAAACAATCCCGTTTCATCTGCATTAAAAATATCGCATTCTGCGTAGTTTGCTATAATTTCGGGTATTTTTGCTTTCCAGTTATCAACGGCTTCTTCATCAACACTTGCTGCTTCACCACAAACTGATTTAAAAGAAATATTATTTCTTTTCCGAAATATTTCAAGCTAGCCATTAGAGCCTTTAAAATCAAATCCGTGCATTTCAGCGATTTGCTTACTTTTTTCTTGAAGCATCGGTCCTGAAACAGGAAGATTTTTTTCTCGTAATTTTGAAAACCAGTTTAATACTTCATTGTTGATTATAGAGGTTTCTGTTTTTTGTAGCTTTGTCCATTTCCGTTTCTCTTCTCCATTTTCAGCCCAAGTTTTGTAAAGAGCGTCTTTATTTGCTATAATATCAGCAATTTGTGTTTTACTAACACTAAATTTGTCTGCTAATGCACGAACGCCCATTGTATTTGATGTTCGAAATTCCATAATGTCTATTTTTTCTTTTAAAGTTAATCGTTTTCTTTTGCTAGCCATAGCGCACTACAATAAAGTTTATATAAACAATACGTTAAATAAATAAATTCTCACTACAATAAACGTTGGCATCACAAACACAACTAAATGCACATAGGACAATGCATTAGTTACAATACTTCGTTGACGCGATAATATTTCAATGACTGAACAGATAAGATTTTCATGTACAGTATAATAATGTACACATAAGATAACGTTTTTATTCAGGTATTCTAAAATAATTCTTAATTTAAGATAAAAATAACTAATATCAATGTCATAAAAGTGTCCGTTATTTAGAGTGTCCTGTATTTAGAGGTTTTCCTATATAAAAGTGCTGAAAATGTCCCCGTCCCCGAAAAAACGTCCGCTATTTAGAGGTGTCCGTTAAGGGAGGTTTCACTGTATTTATGTTATAACATATATTTAGTATTATGCCTAATTAGTTATTCAATTTTGGTTATATAATTTTTATTATTAGTTTGTTGTTTGTTAACTCATAAAACCTATTGTTATATTTTATGTATTACTTATTGTATATTTGTACTTTTGTTTTGTTTTTAATCTTGTATAATTTAATGACTAAAAAAGGAAGATGTTGTTTACTGTATACTTGTATTAATAAGCTATATTACACTAATCTATGTTTGACTAGTTAAAATATTATTATTATCATTATCATTATTATCACACATATGTTAATAGTGTGAAGATTAGTATTAAAAAGTTTATATTAAATAAATACTAATAAAAAAAACAGGTGGCATGGCTATTTTTACTCATTAGTCTTAATACGGTTGAATACTTTTCCCGAGACCGGCGATACCCCTATTAATAGTTAATACCGTGATAAATACTATGGTCTCATCTGAAAATTCTTAGAAATTTTTATTTTTATATTTTTCTTAATTCCATTAACTTGTTATCGAATCGGTATTTACAAAAATATTTTTTTGGTCTATAAAATCAAAATTAATTTAATTGGGATAAATGAAAAAATAATGCGTTAATTTCAAGTTAATCTTTTAGGAAATAAATCAAGTTATAAGTTAATTTAATTTATCAGTAATGAAATAAGTTAAGTTAATAAGTTAAATTAACTTAACTTTTAACTTATTAGTTCGTTAATGCCCAGGCTAGCTAACAATTAATGAGCATGATTTGGAAAAAGCACTGGAAGAAATGACGAGATGCATCCAAAAATATAATTTGATTATCAACTGGCAAAAAGCTAAAGTTATGATGTGCCAAAAATAAGATATTTGTAGAATTAATATCTAAACAGGGAATAAACTGCTTGAACAAGTAGAACATTATCCATACCTAGGCAGTATAATGAACCAAAGCGGAAGATTTTTCATAGAAATAAGATCCAAAATCGCACAAGCAAAGTCAGCATTTATGAAAAATAAAAAAAATTGTTATGCTCCCATAACATAAATATTAAGATGAGGAAAAGTTTCAAAAGAGTATATGTACGGAGTGTGGTTATGAAACATGGATACTAAATAAGGCAGAACAATAAACACTCGAAAGCTTTGAAAAGGAGAAGGATGCTGAGAGTGAGTTTGATAGAACACCGTACCAGCGAAAACATGCTCAATGAAAAAGATGAACGAAGAGAAACTACCTACATATATACCTATTAATATATTATGTATTATTAAGATTAACTTGTACATAATAAGCTGTTTTTGTAAATATAAATTGTGTGTATCTATGTAAAAATGCAAGCCCAGGCAAATTAATGATAACTTTTAACTGAATTAAGTTGATGGAAAACATTTAAAAAATTTTTAATATTAACAGTTAACCTATTTCTTTTTTTAACTCAGTTAAAGATAAAAGTTATATAAACAATTTTAATTAACTTATTAAGTTAAGTTATTATTATTATAATTATTTTTAATATCTAAATAAACACCCAGTAATATGGTTTTTTAAAATAATAAAAATCATAAATATTATTGAATACAGGAAAAATATAAACGTACTTCACTGGTATTGTTAATCACATCATAGTTACACAAAAACTAAAACACAATATTGAATTTTTTATATTCTATACTCAATATTGTAAATCTTGCATACTATTAAGAGATCCAAGAATGAAAACTGAACCCATGTGATCTATGAGTATTTTGTCTACTGATAATATTGTCTATTAATAAATATAAACATTTGAAATATAAATATGTATATACCTATTGTGACAGTTGTCTACACTGTCTATTATATTTAAAATGTCACATGTATGATGTAATTATTAAATATTATTAGTTCTATATTATTCACTAAGTTTTATATAAAATATTATTTTCATAATATTTTGTAATGAATAAAAAGTAAAAATATTAAATAAAGAAATACAAAATATTATATGGCGCAGTTGAAATTAACCGAACCCCGTGCGGTAAGTAATTAATTATTACTGAATTGTAAGATTCAAGTGGATAAAAGAATACGACGACTTGGCATAATGCAGTTCAATAAACCAAACCCGCTCAAGACGACTGGGAACTTGGCTCAAAACTTCGGAATTTTTAGACAGGAAGTACAAATATATTTTGATGCCACAGAAAGTCATTTAAAAAAAGAATCAACACAAGTGGCTATATTATTAAAACTCCTGGAAACGGATGGTTTAAAAATTTATAATACGCTCAAAGTAACAAATAATACCATCATGGAAATTTTAAAGGCGTTAGAAGCTTACTGTATTTCAAGAAAAAATGAAACAATGGAGTTACACAAATTTTTCACACTTAAGCAAGCAGATGGTGAAACATTTGATAGGTATTATGCAGACCTTAGAGAATTAGTAAAATCTTGTGAACTTGGCAATTGTGAAGATAAACTGTTAAAAACTCAAATAATTCTGGGAATTTGTGACAAGGACTTACAAGCGAAGTTGTTGCGTGAAGACCTTGATTTGGATAAAATAGTAAAACATTGTCAAGCAGTGGAACAATCAGAAATTAATCATAAATTAATTCAAGAATAAACCAAATAAATCTGCAACGTTGTAGGTGAACAGAGAAAAAGTTCATGTAAATACAACAAAGGCAAAGGATCAACATTAAACACACAAAAGACAACTCAACAGAATACTGAAGATGGAAAAGTAAGTAACTGGTGTAAAACTAGCAATAAGTTTAGTTTAAATAAAAATAATTTTAAAATTATTAATGATTGTATGAGGTATGGTCAATCACATAAAATTAAAAATTGTCCTGCGTATGGAAAAATATGTGGTAATTGTGGTTTAAAAAATCATTTTAGGATCAAATGTAGGAAAGGAGAAAATATGAGAGTACAAAATCAAGGTCAAGTAAATAAATTAGAAGCTGTAAATACTCTAGATAATTTCTTAGTATCAATTGATGCTTTAGAGATAATGAATACTGAATATGGTAGTAGTAGTAATAAGTCTTGGATTGGAAAAATTATAATGAATGGTGATGAAACTGAGATAAAATTAGACACAGGAGCTGAGTTAAATGTAGTGTCTGTGGACCTGTTAAAAAAAATGAAAAATATAAAACTTAATGATAGTAAAGTTACTATCAGATCATTTGGAGGTTATTTGACCAAATCGAAGGGCAGTGTGTTAATAAAACTGGAAAATAATAATATCAAATTA